ATCATATTTCATGCTTAATTAATATAATACATTTGCCAAAATTTCGAATTGCAACGTACAATCAAAAGGGCATACGTAAATGTATTCAGGAAACAAAAAGGGCACCTTCGATGATAATATACGTGGAAATTCACTTTCGCACTATCAGCGATAAGGAACCGGTCATTATTTATGGGGGGGGGGGGGGGGCACCGAAGATGAAAGAGTTGAACAAAATTTTGGGTGCGTGAAAAACAAATTGCTCGGTCTGGTTAAAAGGGTATGTAAAGAACTCCCTGATCTGAAAGTCAGAAAATTGTTGTACTGTGCTCTTGTGCGGCCTAAACTTGAGTACGCCAGTAGTTTGTGGTCACCGTATACAGTTGAGTATCGTTCCTTAATTGAAAACGTCCAGCGGTGGGCCACTAAATTTATACTGAACTATCCTCCGGATATGTCATATACACAGAGACTTGCCAGAACCACTCTTCTTCCCCTTGAATTTCGCAGAGAAATTGCCGATTTGATGCTTCTTTTTAAAACCAGAGCAGAACTGATTTTCACCGATGTCAACGGAATTATGATGTTAACAACTACAATCTAATCATTAAACATAAACAAGATTATTACAGAAAATCGTTTTTTATTAGATCAGCCGAGCTATAGAACTGTCTGCCCTCATAACTTAAAGTCTACCACTCGTTACCTGCATTCAAGTCTACCCTAATTAACTTGTACATTACAAAGTTATCAACATACAGTCCTCCTGGTTGTTCCGGCTAATTATATTCATTCCTGAACTTCTTTTTGTCATGTTACTCGTTTCCAAATAAGTGTATATGTATATAAATGTATACAAAAGTATAATGTATATGTTTTTGAGTAAAGACAAATAGTATATTGTGTATATTGTAAGGGGTTAGGTTTCAAGTGGGACGAAAGTCCTGTTCCGTTCTGCTGTCACATTATCTTCGACAATGTAAATTTTTGTATGGTGACAAATTCAATAAGTTGAAAATAAGTTGAAAACTACTCAAGAGGGTTGGGTTATAAAAATGTATTGTCATTTCCAAAGTATGACTTACTCAAATATTAATTGAAGATTAAAAGTAATGTCAACAGTCAGTCACTATCTTGATTACTTTTGGTGATTTTCGGATTTGTCGGGAGGCAAATGGTGTCTTTAAAGAAACTACATGCGCAGACGTCATATAACTTTAAACTGCAGAAAATTGCACATGCAAGCCCTTATCAAAACTCATGTCACAGAAGTGGAATAAATACAAAGGACATCTGTGCGTTGTGCCTTGGTATCCTTTTGTAACGTTTTCGGCCAGGACTGGGTATGTACTTTTTAATTAATATTTTATAAAAGTTGGGTGAAATGTGTTTTTTTTTTACTTTTTTAATGGTTGGATGATTTGTCTTTGGTGCCACCGCCCGCCATAAATAATAACCGGCCCCTAAGTAGATTACTGAATTATGATAAGGATATAAGAGATGTAACATGGGACCTCGACAGGTTGTTGTGGAGAATGCAATGATTATTATAAGGAGAAAATTATTAGGAGTACCGCACATTTTGCTCTCCCGTTTTTTAATAAAATCTCACCGTTAAGAAACGAAATTTCCCTGTTTCAAATTTTCAAGGTTGACAGGTTTGCAAAATGAGCCATGGTGGAAACGATATTTAGAAGGGCGGATTAACGAAATGAACCAGATATCGTAAACCTCCGAATATAGGCCCCTCCCCCCGAATATAAACATCTCCATATATTGGGGCTTATTATTGGCATGTATTTATTAACGCAGCGACGGGTATTCCAACAGCTCAGATTACAGTATTATATGTTAACTTAACCAACTTGTTTTATGTAAGAGTTATACTGTAGTCTACATGTTGATATTTCTTTTCGTTCAGGGTATAGGTACAATAAATATTATTACTAACATTACATGTCATCCGTATATACGACCCTCCCCCTTATAGAAGCTCCCTCCCAATGTTTATAAGCCCATGCTTATAATGCTTACGAACGAATATAAGCCCTGCCCAAGGCTTATATTCGGAGGTTTACGGTATCAGAACAGAATAAGCAATACCAACAAAACCGTAATGTTTAATTACCATATTTTTTCGTTAAATGTGTAATAAATTACTAATATTAACAGACCTGGAAATAGTGCTGGATTGATCCTGGGAAAACGAGAAATTGTGTGGAAACACGACACCCGTAGGGTGGAGTGTTTTCACACAATTTCGAGTTTTCCCAATTTCCACGAGTGTTGATATAACTGTATATCAATACGAAAAAATGTTTTATATTTTTTTATAATATTGCATGAAGAAATATATAAAAGAGATTTTCCGTGTTGACATCGAGTTATTTCAACACGGCTCTTAGCCAATCAGCGTTCAGAATTTACAAATGCTATTATAAAAATATATATTACATTTCTTCTTAGAATGACTCGAGTATTACACATACCAAAAATTATAATTGGGGTTAGTCGCATTAAATGTAATTTGACCACCGTGTTGTCAAAGAAGTTATTTGCCCCTTAGCGTGGGATCCAAAAAAGGCTAGAATTATTTCCAGGTCTGCCTATTAAAAGTGGCTTATGTTTTTAACTTTTTACTTTCTTGAAAACCGTCTTCACTTTCTCTATTTACTTTGTTTAAGGCTTTGTTGCAAATACTCAGTAATTCATGTGCCTGTTTAATATCTCCTCTCCTGCTCAGTTCTTGTTCGCAGCTATCAAGAATGAATTGAACACGTTCCGCAGAACCGTTCAGTTCATGTTGTAATGTTTCTAGTCCAACGTCTGCAATTTTGTGAAGTTCGTCTGTTGATACAGATATGAAAAACAATGGTTCTTCAGTAATTTTTTTCCTTAACGACTCAGATAACGCAGATGGGCCATCAGCTTCATCAAGGCCATGGTAACTTTCTTGACTCTCACTCTCACTGTTGAATTGTCTTCCTAGATATGAAGTTTAACAGAAATGTTTATTTTCCCAGATCAATGACGTATTTTCAGGGGCGTTCTGGAAAATTTTTACATGCGAATACATTTTACTATAATAGAACATCTGCGATAAACCTAAGGACGACCTAAACTAAGATCACCCTCGTTCCCAGGCTCTTGCCTGGGAGCAAGGTTGAACTAAGATACAAAACACATGCAAAAGTGCTCTGAAATTTGAAATGTGGTGATGTACTGGAGCAGTGGAAATCAAAAGTGGAAAATAGAACGGAATGGAAATAGCTCGTATGTCAAACATGCGTCAAAGTGTTGGGCCCACAGTAATTGGTGTAAACTGTTGTGGTGTCCCCGCCTCTTGTTCTGTCTCATCACGGGTCTCATGTGTGTGAATTGTTGAACTTGTATTGTGTACGTTTTTTTGTTGTCAAGGCGAAGCTAAATAAATAAATAAATACATAAAAGGTGGATGAGAGGAGAGTCAGTGCATATAAGAAACAGAAGGAAAAGAGGAGAAAGAAAAAGAATGAACCAGAGATATTATTATGAACTCTTAAAATTCGATTATTGGTTATAGTTTTTTTGTTTAGTTTTTGTGGGGGTTTTTTTTGTGGGGGGGGGGCCTTCATTGTGTTTTTTGAGATGGTTTACCCCCCCCCCTACCTTGAAGAAGAAAGGGGTTCAAACTATGTATACAGTGGGGATTCAGCAAAGTGGAGTATTATGAGGGTGGTGAAATCCCATCAACATTTTGAAAAACTAGTTGTCTTGGTAAGACAGAACTTCTGCTAATGAAAGGTTATTTTTGGTACATTGACTAAAAATTACTAATTTAAATATTCTTTTATAAAAACATTAATTAATTAAAAATAAATTATTTAGTAATCAAGTAATTGAAATTCTCGGGGGTATGCCCAGGGAGGGGATGGCGATGTTTGAAGACCGCTAAATGTGGAATTTGACCGCAGAGTTTGAAGTATTCAATCATGAATTGTTGTACCAATACAACAAGGAAAAACCAAAATTTAATAATCTCACATTAAAAAACTCATTAATAATTCATGAAGAAAACACAAAGAAAAATCATAAGCGTGTCGTATCTGTATATGTGATACAGATTTATGTTGATTTACATAAACTTTAACTTTGATTTTCTCGGCTTAGACAACGTTTATTTTTAAAATTACTTCGCCAATGAACTCATAAGATGAGTCGTTTCTTAAAACATTTACAACATTCGCGTCAGTGTTGTATCGGATATACAAACTCTCGCCTTTGGCTCGAGTTTGTATATCCGATACAACACGGCGGCTCATGTTGTAAATAGAGAATAATACATGGGTGCGCGGAAATACCAGATTTATTTCGAGTGTTGAACATGATATCTCACGAGTGAGCGCAGCGAACGAGTGAGATATCATGTTCAACACGAGAAATAAATCTGGTATTTCCAAGCATCCATGTATTTTTCTGTTTATTATATAAAGGGCAGTCTTTGAAAAGCGATAATGTTTACAGAAAAGCGATAATTGAAAAGCGATAATTTTCACATGTGAGATTATCATGAATAATCTCACATGTGAGATTATCACTTTTATCAGTGCTCGAAATCTCTATAAAGCACTATACTTTATATAATAAATAGTACTAATATACCTGCCAAACTTGAAAACGCTTACAGAAATTGTCAGAAAAAGAATTGTACTCAAATATTGTTTTTGCAAACTAAGGTTCAAAGATTTTGTTGAACATAACAAAACTTGAGCATTTGTAATTTACTGATTGACCTATAATCGGTATCTGCATCGGGCCGATTTGTGCCTTATCGGTAGACAATCGGAATTGGTAGAATTATCCAAGCCTTGATAAAATATTTTTCTTCCTGGCAGCAGGCTTCCCAGACCTATAATTTCCTGCTAACTTTTTAATAAATATGAATTTTGGTTGTAATTCAATAACAGCGTCGTATTTACTACCTTAATAAGTCATATACTAGTATACTATCTCAATATTAAGAAAAATATAGGTTCAGTAGAATTAGGAACATGAAGGAATTCTATGAAACAATATTTGAATTCTGTTTTCAGATTGTAAACTGATCTGAATTTATATCAGTATTCATGCACTATTCAATAATAGTAGTATACCCTTGTTTTCCACGTGTATCATAATCATGAATCATGATAACAGACAGTCGTAGCACTGCCACACGATACACATTTTTATGTTATAATTGTTGTATTTATGCTCTAATTGGGTTGTTTGTTACTTTAATGCTGATTTTTTAAATTTCTCGAGCTTCATTCTTGATATCCTGCTTTTCCTTAAAAATTTCCTGTGAGATTAAGAAAATTTCCTAGCAGCATGCTGCCATGCTGGCGGACTTTCTCATGCCTTGGAATTATCTATAATTGATTTCCAATAATTGTCTAAAACTGATTGAAAAAATACATAGCCTACACACTTTAAAAATTATATGCATTGTACGTTGATGCACATTAAGTTTTAATGCAATATGTTAAATTAATGCGCAAAGCATGCCATTTATTAACGATCTTAATAATCTTTGGTTTGCAGTAGGCAACATGTTACGTTGGAAATTATTGTTAAAAAATCAACATGAATGGTGTTACCTTTACTCGGTCAACTGATACTGTATTATGACATCATTACAAAATCGGTACCGATATTGGCATCGGTATCTGGCAGATTGTGGCATGAATAATCATCAGTAATTTCCGATTGTTGCACAATCAGTCAATCACTATAATTGTAATCAATTGTGATTCTCCCCACACTGCAAAAGTGTTGGCTTTGGAAGAAATTAATTTCCTATGTAAAAATTCTTGCGATAATGAAAATCTGCACAAAACTCAAACTATAAAAGAATGCAAATAATTTCTGGAGAATCTGCACAAACTGCCTTTCTGAACCAACTACTGACCTTCCTAATTGGTAGTCAATTTATCCCGGGCGTTCTGTGACCCCCGTCCGCGATCATACCAGATCATGTCAGCAGCATCTGGTAATTACTAAAATAACATCGCCCCATTATTCAAAATTCCAAAGGAATGTTATCGTTGAAAATCGCTGAATATTTTTCATCTACAACTTTAGAAAGTGGAAATATTTCCAGATGCATGGGCCATCATCATTCGAATATTTCATCAAAGAACAAATATGACTGGTTTATAGTTTATTTTGTCTAAACTGATACATTCCCATGCACATTACATCCTCTGAGAAAATCCACAAACTAACCCCTCTGAAATCCTTGACGTGGCTAGAAAAACAATAAATGCCATACCATCACAAGTTTACTAAATGTCAGCGGATCCTTTTATTTATATATGTTACTGTATATTCTATATATTTAGATTTTCTGCACTTCTGTATTCTAGCGAGTGCGGGTGGCGTGGTTGTCTAGGGCGTTGCGTGCATTCTTACATGCTGCTAATTAGTGGTTCGAATCCCGCAATGGCCAATGTTTTGTTTTTCGTTCTCATATTTTTTTCTTTAAGATTTTTTTTCTGTAAGTTACAGTACTGTTATTAAATTGCCCCCATCTTTCAAAATTCGACAAATTATTTTTTAATAGTTGAGGCCATTTTGTAGTTCGTGCCAATTCCATAATTGTGTTAATTAATGCTAGATGTTGGGCCGCTGACATTATCTGATTTGATCGTGGACGGAGGTCACAGAATGCCCGGGACTACCTTCCCCAGTGTAGAAAGTTTGTATCGCAAGGCGGATATCTCCGGCGCGTAATTTTGATGCTTTCTATATATTTACTAATAAATTTTCTAAATCTCCGGCGCACAATTTCCAAACTTTCCAGTCTGGTACCTTCCTAATCCTATTTGACAAAAACACTTCCTGACTGGCTGACTCCAGGAACACAATTTTTTTTGAAAATATCCAATATAGTTCTGCCCATTTTTCCCAAAGAGAAATATTTCCTGCGCAAAATAAAACTTTTCAGTCTGACGTTTCAATTTATGCAAGTTTTTTATTCTAAAGTTGTAACTAGGGATCTTAAATAAAAGCCTTATGGTTTCTAGAAGGTTCCTAGCCCTATATTGTAAATAGTTTCTATTTTATGATTTATTTGTGTATATATTAATGTAATTGGGGCGAATTAAATAAAAAAAAAGCCAAAAAAAAGCTCATTCTCCCCCAGGGTGCATTCCATGTAGCCAAACGCGAAGATCTTCGGCGTGGAGTTGCGATGCTCTACGGCGCAGCGGCGTGCAAATGCTAATGTTGGCGTGCCGGCGTAGTTTTTTTCCCCTCAACGGCATACAAACTTAATATAATACAATCAGAAAATATCGTTGTTAAGTCTCTATTGTTTATTGGATAACTTAACAGTTTCATGATCTTTTTTGCAATCCAAATCAAGTATAATATGTTACATGCAGTGGTTTCATATTTGATAAAACACTTCTTGCTTAGTATTCCTTATATAAAGAATACTAATTGGTTTTTGAAGCCGTTCAATACACTCGCAACTCGTGTTTTATTGTGTCTAAAACCAATTTCAGGTAAATCCAGGTAGATTTGCAGAAGAAATTCAGCTCATGTGGACAATTTCAGGTAAATCCAGGTAGATTTGCAGAAGAAATTCAGGTAAATGAACACAAATTCAGGTAATTTCTAGGCCCAGAGAAAGTTAATTAACAAAAATAAGTATGAATTTGGAGAAGAATGAGCTAAATTGTCAAAAATTTTAGAGAATTGTACCAAATTTTCGGATTTAAGAAAAAAAAGTTGGATAAATGGAGAATATTTGGTAATGCCGGGAAAAATTGTTTTATGCAACGAAAACGTTTGAGATGTCGGGAAAAAAATTTTGACCCCTAAAATGGCACACTGAGCGAAATTTTTTTGGCGAGGGGGGGGGGGAGGTAGCCTCCTCCGCAGGCATCTCACCCGACGAATCGGGTGGTGGGAAAAAGTTTGGTGAGATGCCTGCCATAAATCGACACAAATATTTGCAC